GTTTCAAAGGTACACCTCCTAAAAGAGCATTCCCCTCATAGTTGAAAGCCTGAAATGTCCCAGATATGAGCACCGATAACCTTTCGGCTTCATAAATTAAATAAAGGGAAATAAATCCAGATATATCCACAAAAACCCTGCCAATAATCAGATTTTTGTTTACCGTAGGGTCTCTTCGCAAGGATTTCTGAGGTCACATTCTAATTATACTGGATGTCTAAAGATGGAGAAATGTGTTATGTCAGGAGGACACCCTGAGGGCGTTTGTATTTACTGCAGAGGATCACAAGGCAAGAAGCAAAACAAACATCAAGTCCATAGGCTCCAAATAACAGAAAATGTTTGATGTTCTCCAGGGTTCCAAGATAAGATGATGCCATCTGCAATCCCAGTGACCTGTGTCAGCCTGTTGTTGATTAAACATGTAGACATCAAGCTGAGGGGGAATAGAAACAAAAATGTTTGCCAAAAAATGAACATGCATCCGATTGCTATCAGGCAATATTTTCCAGTCTGGAACTTACATAGTATTGAATAATTAAAAACAATGTATTTTTTTAAAATATTTTCACACACATGGTTCAGCTGACACCCTCTTAGAAGAAGCTCTACATGACCTAGCAGTCTTGTTTGAGAGATCTGTGATAGAAAGATATCTTAAACGCACTGGCCAAGAGTGTGTGTGCCATCAAGTTGCCTGTTGACTTATGGCAGCCCCATGAATTTCATAGGGCTTCCTAGAGAAGGAATATTCAGGGTGGTTTTGCCTTTCCTCTAAAATATACCCTACAGCACTGCGTTGGTGCTCTCTTATCCGTGTATCAATCAGGGCTGACCCTGCTTAGCTTTCAAGATCAGATGAAATTTGATACCTTTCAGGTATTTATGTGTACTGGCCTCTGGTGTAGTAACTTTTACCTGTATTATGTATTTACTTATATTATAGTTGTTTACATTAACGTTTATATATTTAAATTAATTACATTCACTTTTTTAAAAACTCTGCTATTTGATTAGTCTCAGGACTTCATCACATTAAGGACAAGATTTGTTACACATCGTGGTAAATCTGGCGGGGCCCGGTGTGGGGTGCCTGTCACCCTGCATTGCTCACCTTGCCACTCGTCCTATTCCATGGGATGAAGTGTCCACTGCCTGGCTTCCCCCTGTTGTTGCCTATACAACTTGGGAAACCTCTCGTGTTGTTGCCGTGGCAGCTTACCATACTTTCATCTTAACTTGCACCATGGAGCCCTGCAGAAAGTACATTGGCGTCGTAGGATAGGAGCTGGTGGGCTCCATGGAATTTTGCCTGTCTGATGAGGCCACTAGTTTCCTTTGTAATCATTACTAATAAACTATTCCTCCTAGCAGGTTGAATATCCATTATCTGGAATTCCAAAATCTGAAATACAGGCAGTCCTCAAGTTACAAGCAAGACAGGTTCTGTAGGTTTGATCTTAAGTTGAATTTGTTTGTAAGTCAGAACAGGTACATTTTAAAGTGCAACTCCAGTCAAATAACTTTGGACAGCACAGAGAAGGGTTCATACTCCTTTGATGTTTGTCTTGCTGACAGTACCCCTGGTCAAAATATTTCACCGCACTTTTTGTTCCTGTGATAATTGGATTTTTTTTTAAAAAAATGGCTTTGTGGAAACAAGAATTGGTGATAAAATTTCCCATGATAACTCTTTCAGGAATGAATTTCCCCTCCTGGGCGTAGATTTCTCTCAATTCCTGGTGTCTCACCCCCATTCTTAAGTATGAGCCATTTGTAAATTAGATATTTGTAACTCCAAAATTGTCCACATAGGTAGCTTTCTGATGGTTTAAGATACACAAACTTTGTTTCATACGCAAACATACAAATTCTGTTTAATATTCAATTTAGGGCACATATAGAAAGCATTTGTGAATATCATGTTTAGACTTGGGTTCAATTGCCAAGATATCAACTGACCGAGAGATCATGAGTCCGAAGCCAGCACAGGGCGGAGTAAGCTCCCGACCATTAATAGTCTCGCTTGCTGTCGACCTATGCAGCCTGAAGGACAGTTGCATCTGTCAAGTACGAAATTTAGGTACCGCTTTATGTGGGGAGGCTAGTTTAACTAATTTACAACACCATAAAACCTTCCAGCAGCATGTAGAAGAATGAGGAAATACTCCATCAAAGGACCCGTTGTCACAAGTGGACAGTGAAGCGGCAGTTCCCCAGTGTCCAGAATCAAGCATACCCTCATGAAGCCGGAAAAGCTGGAATGTTAAATCGCCTCTGTGTCTATATATGTTGTGTGTAAATGGCATTGAATGTTTGCCATGTATATGTGCATTGTAATCTGCCCTGAGAAGGGTGGAATATAAATACTGCAAATAAATAAATAAATATCTCATTATGCATATGCAAATATTCAATTTTTTTAAAAAAAATCCAAACACTTCTGGTCCCAAGCATTTTGGATAAGAGATCCTCAACCTGTACTTTCAAGTTTCTTCTTATTTCCCCTGGGAGTCATCTGTAAGTCATCTTGCCCAAGACTGGAAACTTGAGAGCTTTCTCTTAAAATGAGCAGTGGAGAATTTTACCATATTTTGATTGTAAAATCTTTGTGGGTTAGATATGCTGAAAGTTAATTCAGATACCCATCAAACAAGAGGGGATCCTGCAATTAAGTAGAGTGAAGCAGTCGTCTGAGACAGTACAATTTGGGTGTCATGAAAGGATAGAAAGTTGTTATTTACTTTGTTATTATTCTGTTTGTATTCTCAAGGAAAAGTGTGAGTTTCTGCTCCAGGTGCTGAAATAATGTGAAAGCAGCAGCCGGGGAAGGGATGTACTTCTGAGTGTTCAAAGGTGGTCTTTGTTTTTATTTATTATTTTAGTCAGGGGTGGGAAGAGAAATGGGAGTGAGATAGTCTTAAAGGGAGTATCATGCAAGTTGGCTAGAAAAAGCTTTAAGCAGATGACGTACAAAAGTGGGAGGAAGATTAGTCCTCCAAAAATACAGATTATAATGTTAAAATCCACTTTATTTCTCTCTTAAATCTTCCCATATTATTGTTATTTACTTTTCCAGTAATCCCACATTTAAAGTCTGTTTTCAGATAATTGCATTCCAGATAATGTCTTCCAAAGGGAGCACCCATGTTTTGTTTCTTATATTTGTAAGGTGCTCTCCTATAAGTTTTTTTAGAGGTCTTATTGTCCTTCTCACAGACATCATTATACAGCTACAGCGTATAACACAATGTCACAACAGCTATTACAAGTGGTAAAATGAGCCAAAGTGCATCTTTCTTTGTTAGCATGGTTTGTCAATATAGTCTTTTTGGATGTGTAAGTGCAATAGACACAGGCTGGATCTACACTGCCATATGATGCAGTTTGGAACTACATTATATGGTCAGTGTGTAGACTGCATTATAATGCATTACATCGGTCTACACTGACCATGTCCCAAACTGCACTATATGGCAATGTAGATCCAACCACAGTGATCACAAGAGATATGGCTCTTCATGTCTAATCCTTCCTAATGTCGCGACCCCTTAATACAGTTTCTCATGTTGTGGTGACCACCAACCATAAAATTATTTTCGTTGCTACTTCATAACTGTAATTTTGGTACTGTTGTGAATTGTAATATAAATATCTGATATGCAGGATGTATTTTCATTCACTGAGCCAAATTTGGCACAAATACCCAACATGCCCACATTTGAATACTGGTGGGATTGAGGAGGGGGGTTGATTTTGACATTTGGGAGTTGTAGTTGCTGGAATTTATGTTCACCTACAATCAAAGAGCATTCTGAACTCCACCAACAATGGAATTGGACCAAACTTGGCACACAGAACTCCCATGACCAACAGAAAATACTGGAGGGGTGTAGTGCGCATTGATCTTTTGGAGTTGTAGTTCACCTATATCCAGAGAGCCCTGTGGACTCAAACAATGATGGATCTGGACCAATACTCAGTATGCCCAAATGTGAACACTGGTGGAGTTTGGGGGGAAATAGACTTTGACATTTGGGAGTTGTTGTTGCTGGGACTGATAGTTCACCTACAATCAAAGAGCATTCTGAACACACCAATGATGGAATTGGGCAAACTTCCCACACAGAACCCCCATGACCAACAGAAAATACTGTGTTTTTGATGGTCTCTGGAAACCCCTCTGACACCCCCTCACGACCCCCCCCCCCCAGGAGTCCTAATCCCCAGGTTGAGAAACATTGCATTAGGGTGTCTGTGGGTGTTTGTTTTTCTTACCTAAAATTGTTTTTCACCAAAATATCTCTGCTGTTTTCGGTTCTTTTAAATGAACTCTGGGGCTTTTCTTGGCAACCTGGTATGTTTTGAATTTGTACCAGTGTTGTTTTTGAATGGAATTATTTTGGGTGTTGTGAAATAATAGAAAGTTCTTTACTTTGCTATTCTTCTGTTTATACTCTCAAGGAAAAAGTGCTATGAACGTTTATGTCTCAGATACCAAAATAATGTAACAGCAGGAACATCTCCACCTCTCGTTCCCCAGGAGTGGGGCTCAAGGTGGGTGACACATGACACTTCTAGCCTGATCAAAGAAGAAGGCATTCTCATCATATAGCTCCTTGGGTTTTGGAGGTTGTCACCTTTATGTCTGTTTGTAGCAGTTTCTTTGATATGAACTAGGATTCCCTCAAAGACATTTTTTTAAAAAATGGATAGGGTTTACTGTCATAATCCTATGGTTTGCAGGGCAAATTTTCTCCTTTCAGATTTTGAAATTATATTTAAAGTTACATTTTTACGTTTACAGGTATAATGTTAACGTGTAAAGGTGACATTTCACAGATGCACTGTAACTCTAAAAAAGAAAAAGAAAAAGAAAAAAGAATAACGGAAGGGAACATATTGTTCTAATATGCATCAGAATTAAAAAATCACTTGAATGTGGAAATGAACTAAACAGACCAACCAATTATTTTTTTTCTTGGTGTCTTGTTTTTCAGGCTTGTTCCTTGAGCTGTTTGGGGTGTTGATTGAGAAACGGCATTGGATAAGCTGCATGAGCACTAGCTTCTTAGGTATGATTGGTTTTTTTTAATGAGCGAGCAGATGGATGGTAGATGGCATATATTCTGTATCTCAAAAACTAGATCTGATAGGGGGAAACTGAACGTTGTCTGGACAGCCCCTCCTTTATTATGGTAGATACCGCAATAAAGATACTGTCTGGATGGGCCCTTTAGGAAAAGTCAGGGAATGCTCTGGAACTTCCCTGAAGCTCTGGAGTAGCCCTGCATGTTGGGGTGTTATGAGGCTTTGGGCTTTGTGATGTGAGGAAAAAAGGGTAGCATTTACCATTTTATTCCTTTGTCACTGCAGCAGCAGCTATGGAGCTCTAGCTAGTTGTTGTGCCCCTTTGTGGGTATCAGCGAAGGCATCCGTATGGCCAGGGAGAAAGAAGGTCCACCCGTGTAGATGTGCCCTAGCACTCTGGGAGACCAGGATATCGAAACCCACTGAATGACTTTGGGAAAGTCACACTCTCCAAGCCTCAGAGAAAGGCAATGGAAAGCCTCCTCAAAATAAAGAAAACTCCATGATACAGTTTCCATAAATTAGAAGTTTCTCGAAGGCACAAAACAGCAATAAGATGCACATAGTAGTATATTCTAATGGACCCATGTCATTTAGTTTATGTAGACCAAAGGGAAGCTATCTGATGTCTCTAAACCAATATGTTCTTCCTGACTGCAAATGGAAGAACATAGTGGGATAATGTTCAAGTGTGTGTGTGTGTCCTGAAAACCCATATTGGCTCTATCCCTGTTCACTCTCAGCTCTGTACTCCCCCCTTGTTTTTCCCACCCATGGATCAAGGATTCTGTATAAGAAAAGGTTTTCCAAGCATTTGCAATGATCAAGCGCATACAGCATTGACACAGAACTGTTTTTTCAGGATTCTTAGTTGCATGGTATAATAATAATAATAATAATAATAATAATCCTTTATTTATACCCCGCTACCATCTCCCGCAGGACTTGGTGCGGCTTACAAGAGGCCAAGCCCAAATACAACAACAATAAAACATAACAACAGCAATACAACAGTAAATAACTCATAAACAAAGCAAAACAATAACAATTGTTTATGCAATAACAATTGTTTATGCACTGAACCAAGCTGTTCTGAGTAGACTTGAACTAATCCATGATAATAAGAGAGAATGGCTATAGGTCTATTGCAGTCATAATGGATTCGGACATCATGCTAGATACCACAAAATTAAATAATTGATATATAACAGATATTGGTAATACAATAATATAAACCACATACAATACAATAATAATCTAACACAATATAATAGAAACCACACACCAGGAAATAATGAAGTGTTTTCTACGGAGATGCAAATCAGTGCGCAGCTTCAGATATTTTAATGCAGTTATAACAATTTACAGTACAAAGTATCTTTTAAAACCAAGTTAAATAAACTATCCGATTAAAACACTAATTTTAGACACGTAATAATGAACCTTAATGTACAGCACCCTTCATTAACAGAGCCTTGTGCAATGATTTATTAACAGCCAAATTCTGGGTAAATAAAAAGGTATTTGCCTATTAGTGGAAAGAAAGCAAAGACTAGAGAGAGTATTTGGCATTCAGTTAGCAAAGCTGCATGTCCTAGAGAAAAAATACCACTTTTTGTTCCATGATTTCTAAAAATATATCTAAGGATAAGTAAGTTGCAGAAAGCATCAAGTTGACAGCAATTTTCATTGAAATGTACTAATACTCTTTTTCCCCTTAGGAAGGAAGGGAGAAAACTGGCATAGCTCATGGACAAAGCAAGGAGTACTTCCCTATATCATTGGTGGAGATGTGTGCATTCCCTTTCACTTGGTCTATCAGCCAATGCTGACTTACCCAGGTAGTCACCTAATAAAATAATGCATCTATGGAAAGTTGAAAAGCTTTTTCACCCGCTGAGCCTGTCTGAGCCTATGATTTAAAACTTCTCTGCATGAGTAATCTCTGCAACCTAGGTTTCCTATGCACAGTATGCACCATCTCTTTGTGGGAGGTATGGATTCTGCATAAAAAGTCTGTGTAGACAGGAATGGGAACATGTTAAACTCAGGCTAGATTAATGTCATTTGATTTGTCTGGATCTGCTTTTAAACACGGTCCACAGAAACTGCAACTGGTGAAGAAGTAGAAGGGAGAATGCTTGCAGCAAGAGCTGGGCATTGGGACCTTGTTACAGCTATTCAGTGTCAGTTGTGTTGGCTGATGATTCATTTCCAGGCCCAAATGGAGTTGCTATTATTAGTCTTTCAGAGGTTTGGAATTTGATTATCTTAAAAAACCACCGGTGTCCATATAAGCCTCCCTGGGCTTTAAGACTGGCATCTAAGGCCCTGCTCCCTGGTCCACCAGGAAATGATGTGAAATTGGCAAGTAATTGGGGGCAGGTCCTTTTGTTTCAAAAAAGAAAAGTAATTTTTCTTTTCGAAAAATTACTTGCCAATTTCACTGAATTGTATATGGCCCTTCCACTAGGAAGATTTTAAAGTCTTTGGCCTAATCTGAGCACAGTGTATTTTAAATTAAGCCTTCAAATGATGCTTCTAAAAAGAACAAGAACTACTGCAACAGCTGAGACAAAAGGAAGTTTGGATTATAGTTTCGACAATCCCTGGAGAAAGATGAACAGAAATCAAAGAAGTGGGAAAGATTATGCAAAACTAAACCTCTGCTGCCTTGAGCCTTACCCTTGGGAAACAGGTAACCTCTAAGAAAAGTAAATGGTTGATTGATTGACTTACAAATCAAGATTTGGCTCCTCTGGTTCCAAAAGTAATGGTGGTTTTGGGAGCAATCCCAGACAGATTCACAAACCATCTCAATAATACTGTATTTCATGGTCCCCTGCTTTCATCCCTTCTTACTTTTCCTTCCCTCCAATCTTTCTCACTTTCCACTCCCTGCCCTGCCCTGCCCTGCCCTGCCCTGCTTTTCTTTTCTTTTCTTTTCTTTTCTTTTCTTTTCTTTCTTCCCTCCCCCAGCTCTCACAATGTCTCCAAGGCAATATGGCTCTCTTGTTTTCGTTGCTCCTCTCATACATATGTAACTTTTTTTTACTAGTGATGTCATAGAGGGCCACTTCACTTAACAACAGCCAGCCCAGTGACATTATAGAAGACCACTTCACCTAACAACAGCTTTTGTGGTACAAACAGACAGACAAATGAACAAATATATATATATTTGACATGCACACACACACATACCACTAGTACCATAGGAAGATGGAATTACTAGGGTGTGCAGAAGTATGATCATGGGACTTTAGATTGGCAAATCAACGCAATTGTGCCAGAGAAGAGAGGTATGATACTGAAGATGCTGAAGGCAGTGTGTATTCAGTATCAATGATAATGGGAACTGTAATGGAATAATGGGCTCTTGTGATAGTCCTCAGTAATGCCTTGCAGACAGTAGCAGCGATGATGATGGTGATGATGATGATGATGATGATGGTGTATTCGGTACTGCGTTTTGGGTTTGCTTGTTTGTTTTGGATTGTAAAGTAAATTGTAATTCGCTTTTTGAGAATGAAAAATTCTAAAAGCCAAACTATAAATCTGTGAAAAAGCATAAATGATAGAGTCAGAGCTGTACGCAACATGATCCCAGTTCCTTTTCTCTATGTATGTATTTCTACACAGTTGAATGTTTGCAGAGGGCTCTTGTCAGCAGAAATAAGATCACATAGGAATCTACACAGAGCTGTTTGTCATCGTAACCATCATAAAAATGTAGTCTTTAGGCAATTTTTTCTAACCCCGAAATGGCAGATAAAAATGGTGTCTTCAGATACTACAGGCTCTCAGATGAAACCCAGTTTTCTAAACCAGCAGATGAAGAAGGGAGCTTGAGGTATGATATCTACTGTTCAAAGTGGACTCCTTCCCAATAAGCCTGGTCAAGTTTATGTCCTACAGGAACCTTAGACAGAAGGCACCAGGAGGCAGGTAGATGAAAGCTGTGTTAGTTAAGTATTGGAGGACAGATCCTCATGTACCACTTCCTAAGGGCCCTTTCACACAACACAACTACAGCGTTATGATTCCAATTGAACTACCTTGGCCGCATTCTGTGGAATCCTTAGGGCTTGTAGGTTGTTCAGAAGCACTAAATATACCCTCTGGGTAAGAATACTAAGTGTCCCTCTCTAAACTACAAACTCCAGAAATCCATAGGATGTGAACATGGCAGTTAAAATATGGAGTGGAACGGTATAATTCACATTCAATGGCACATTTTTTATACTTTTCTTATATTATTTTTAGGAAAATAAATCAGACATCTATATAAATAAAAATGTAATGTTCGTTTGTGGGATTAATATAACTCAAAAACCACTGAATGAATTGGCACGCAATTAGGACACAATACACCTATCAGGCCAATGAGTGATCATCACTCATAAAACACTCAAAAACACAGGAGAAGGGACTTAAAAGGCTAAAAAAAAACCCCACAAGGTGCTACAGCGCATGCGCAAAAAATTACTCCCCAGCAAACAAAACATAAAATAGCATATCCACATTCTCTTCCAAACTACAGCTCCCAGCATCCCCTAGACCAGGCCCTTTAGGAGAGGAGGATGATCCAAATGCACTGCTTCCAAGCTGCAAGCTTTCTTCTCCTTGGATTTGTTTGAGAGCATCCCAATCCCTGTATATTTACAATTTCCTATTCCTGGACTGCAACTCCCAGCAATCCTCCAGATACATAAGATAGATAGATTAGATAGAGGTAGATAGATAGGTAGGAAGCTAGATAGATTGATCTCTCCCTACGAACCCCCCAGGAACCTAAGATTGTCTGGGGAGGCCCTGCTCTCGATCCTGCCTGCTTTGCAGGCACATCTGGCAGGGACTAGAGACAGGGCCTTCTCTGTGGTGGCCCCCCAGCTGTGGAACTCCCTCCCCAGGGATATTAGATCAGCCCCCTCCCTCCTGACTTTCTGAAAATGAGTAAAAACTTGGCTCTTCAAGCAAGCATTCGGAACCCCGGAGTAAACAGACAAACTAGAATTGGAAATTGACCCAGGAACGGCCAAGACAATGTAACGGATGAAGATTTGAACAGAGGACATAGTTTCTTTTTAAATTGTTATTATGCACTGTCATTTATGTTTAATTGCACTTAATGTTTTTGCTTTATCAATGTATGTATTTTGTTTCGGCATCGAATTGTGCCGAATGTGTATACCGCCCTGAGTCTCCTTCGGGCTGAAATGGGCAGGATAGAAATAATGTAAATAAATAAATAAATCAGGAGGTCTGCTGTGAGTTGCAGTCCAAGAATAGGTAGAGAAGGAAGAAAGGAGTGAAAGAAAAAGGGAAAGAAAAGGGGGGAAGGAAGGGAAGAGGAAGAGAAGGAAGGAAGGAAAGAAGGAAAGAAAAAAAGGGAAGGAAGGAGAGAAAGAAAGAAGGAAAGTGGGAGGGAAGGTTGGCCACAGCAACGCGTGGCAGGTACAGCTAGTCAGGTTATAAACTTAATTAATCCCTAGGATAAAACATAAGAAGATATTACTTTCTGACCAGTATTTTCCCATTGTGATAGATCAACTATAACTAAAAAAAGAACAAAATGAATAGCTTTATCCTTGAACTGTTTACATCTATATTTTTGAATCAGGTTATTTAATTTTATTTTAAAGGACTTCTTTTATACAGAAATCTATCTTGTTCTCATTCCTTCACTTTGAGTTTTTCTTCTGCCAGAGTGTTAAGGCTGAAAGCATTTTGAAAATCCAGTACAAATATTAATCTTGCACCAGTCTTTTTTTTAAGAGAGAGAGAGCAATGCTAAAGTGTGCCATCTTGTGGTTTCCTGGGAAAAAAACTTTAATATTTCCTGCTCTGTTTGAAATCTAAATGCATGAAATGTGGTTTCATGCAATTGAATTGTACAGAACATTAATGTTTGCATTTCACACAATCTGACAAAGTTAAACAAGTGTCACTGATTGCAGTGGGAGAGATTTAAACATATGATCAATTCTCCCATTAATGAGTGGGTAGAAGAAAGCTTAATTTTAGGGGAATTGTCAGAGGATATGTCAGGGTTTACTGGAGGCCTAAATTTGCCCCCCTCCTTGCAGTCTGAATGCAGCTGCCATAGACATAGATTTCAAAAAAGTATTTTGACAAATATTCCCCACACATCCATTATTTTCCTTTTATCTTCACTTGCCCTGTAATGCTTGCTGTCCCTTCCTTACCAACAGCATCCTCTTTTCTTTATTTCTATTTTGCCACCTTACCTTTATGTTTAACTTCTGAAAGGCCCCAGATGCATAAGGCACCTTCCTTTCCCCAGTTGCTTTAGGCCAGGGGTCCTCAAACTAAGGCCCGGGGGCCAGATACGGCCCTCCAAGGTCATTTACTCAGCCCTCGCTCAGGGTCAACCTAAGTCTGAAACTACTTGAAAACACACAACAACAACAACAACAACAACAACAACAACAATCCTATCTCATCAGCCAAAAGCAGGCCCACACTTCCCAATGAAATACTAATAAGCTTGTATTTATTAAAATTGTTCTTCATTTTAATTATTTATTGTTTTAAAGTGTTTTCTACACTACAAATAAGATATGTGCAGTGTGCATAGTAATTCATGTTTTTTTTTTCAAATTATAATCCGGCCCTCCAACAGTTTGAGGGACTGTGATCTGGCCCTCTGTTTAAAACGTTTGAGGACCCCTGCTTTAGGCCATAGTCTAAGGTCTTCATGTAGAAATAAAAGTACAGGTGAGTGGGAAGGGAAAACAGAAGTGAGAAAGAGGGGTTGCATGGCGACAGGAGGCAAAGAAGAAAACCTAGGAGATAAAGACTGAAAGTGAAGCCATAATTTCAGAAA